TGCTTCAGTAAAATTTTCTTGCTTTGTTATTTTAAATAATTGTCAAATATTTGCAACTTCACTCTCTTACTGTTGCAATCATACATGTCACCCAATATACCCAGTATAAATCAATGGATGTTGTCATGAAAAATGAGAAGGAAAAAAAGCTATTACTTCTCAAAACTCCACAGCTTAAGGAGTTATGTGGGTCTACCTGCAAAGATGTGAACTCAATTTTTCTATTTCTTGAATTAGTCAGGAAGGACTATTTTTTCAGTGATTTTTGTTAATGGTGCTCTGAGGGAAAAAAAGCAAAAGTTTGCTATCGTGGCATATATTATCACAGAAGGGGGTTGGGGGAGGGGAGAGAGGCACTCAATGAGCTGAAATGACAGGCCCTTAAAAAAACAGTCATACAGCCTAGGCTCACAACTTGGTGATATTTGCAGTGAAAAATATTGTTGCCAAGGGTATTAAAATTCTAGCATTTCGGCAATATTCTATTTAGAACTTTACACCACCCAGGCCTGCTCTTGTTCCTTCATTGCAGCCATAAATGCCTTTTATCCTATATACTCCCAGATCCCCACACTTCTCTGTTTCTCTGAGTAAGCCTACCACTCTTCTCCCCTGCCAAACTGGCAACACACAGTTCCCCTCACTCCTAATCTTTCCTCCAGTTCCTCTAGAGTGCTTCTCTCCTTGAATCTCTTCACCGAACGTTGCCTCCACTTCTTAGAGCTCAGTAAAAGTTGACACTCACCTGAGGATGCTTCTTTCCCTGCCCATTTCTCCCACATTACACAGACTACAAAAAGCACAGAAATTTTATCCAGTTTCCCACTCCTGCTTCTGCACCGTTTCTTCCCATCTCATGCAAAAATCTCATTACTGAAATTTACGGCATCCAGCGATTTTACCTTTTCTGTTCTTTGTGGCCATGATATAGTCCACGTGCCGGATTTCCCAGTTTTCGGCACCAGACTCTCTACCTCCTGTCCCATCGTCATCCTGGATGACTTCAACGTTCCTGAGGAAAACTCATCCTACACCCTTGCCACAATTGCTTACGGCTTTTGCCTCTACTGAATTTTGACCATCTGCTTCCAGGGGTACACATCAGGCTGTTTCATAACCCAGAACTCTATGATCCTGAACTCCCATATTCTTCTCAGAACTCCTATCTTTGCTCCTTTATTCCTTCTACTTGCTCAAGATCACTAATGCCCGACCCAGCCCTGCTCTTTCTGATGGCCAGTACTCCCACCAGACTTCATTCTTCTTCCCCAGCCTTTCCAGACCCCAAGGTGCATCATCTCAGCTATTCTCATAACTCCCTTGGCTACTAGTCCTTCAGCTATACCTGCCTGGCAAACCTCCAAACCAGGACCAGGACTCTTACCACCCATCTTACTACCCTTTTACTGTGTCTATTGAGTTAGACTACAGAAAATCGTAAAACCATGAAGAAAGCCTTTGTAAATTTATGGTTTACCACCTCAGCAGTGGCCTCATTCCCAAAACTCATAAAGGCTATTCCCCCTCCCAGATGGACCACTCCTTCGAAAACATAATTACTTCTTACTTAACAAGTTTATGCTATCAGATACCTTGCCACTTCCCTTATTCATACGTGTGTCCCTAAACTCCGTTCTAACTCAGGAGAAGCGCTATTCCTCTTCCAAACGGCTCCTTCTTCCCAATTCGCTACTCTGAACCAACTGCCACCCGAGCTCCACTCTCACTGCTTCATTAAACTTCTCTTACTAAAGTTACCAGTGGTCTCACAATCAAATCCAACAGCCAATTCTTAGTCTCCTGACTTACCTTCTATATTTGATACTGTAATCATCCCTTTCCTGAAACTCTAATTCACCTCATCTCTTGGACTTCCATTTCCTTAGTGTTGCTCATTTGAAAGCTTCCTCTTCCTCTGCCCTTAAATGTTATTCATCAGAATTCTGTCCTTCCTTTTTCACTGTACATACTTTCCCTACATTATCTTATTCATGTCCATGGCTTTTTCTATCACACAGTGCTGACACCCCACCCCCACTTTTCCCATTTTCTCTTATATGGACTTTTTAAATAGTTGGCTAATTGGTCTCCCTGCTTTAAGTCTCACATCCTCCCATTCTCCAAACCTATCCTACATATTGCTGCCAAAGTTATCTAATACAGGATAGTGGTTCTCATCAAAATCCCCTGGAGTGTGTGTTCAAACAGACCTAGGTATTCATCCAGAGTTTCTGACTGTTAGGTTTGGGTTAGGGCTTGAAAATTCCCATTTCTAACAAGTTCCCAGTTAGGTGATGTCAATGCTGCTGGTTCAAAAATTACACTTCCAGAACCCTTGACCTGAGAACTCTTTGGGTCATCGTTAAATCCTCGGCTTAAAATCTCTCATTAGATAGCTTCTGTCTACAAAAGTCCCCAGCCTTCTGTCCACTTAAGAATTACCTGAAGTACTTGTGGAAAATATGTATTACTGGGCTTCACCCTCAAGATTCTGACTTAGTAGATCTGATGCAGTGCCCAAGGATCACTCCTTTGACAATCTGTGACCTACAAGATAATAAAAATCCAAACCACTTAATGTGGAACTCGAGTCCCTCTGTAATCTATTCCTTGCCTAGCTCTAGCATTATTGAACTATTAGTTAAAAACTTAGTGCAAGTCTATGCGAGTTTTTGCCTCTTCTGTTCCCACTGCATGAGCCCTCCCTCCCTCTCTCATCTCTGTGGTAAACTAGTGCTGCTTCAAAATGCATCATGTGTGTTACTGATGCAGTGAGGCATTCCCTGACACTGCAGCTTCCCAGCAAAGTTGATCATTTTCCTGCATTAATTCTGTCTCTTGCATATACTTCCTTGACTGAGCACATTTGTGTTACAATTATTTACTTTTTTGCCTTCTAGTAAATGCACTCTGAACATGAGTATCTCTGGCACTCAGCAGTATCTAGCACATAGTAATTGCTCAGTAAATAGAAATGAGAGGGGTGGTGTGGAGGTAACTGATAGGGAGGGGAGGGAAAACAGCTTAGGGAATAAAACATGGAATCAGAGTAAACAGGATATTGAGGAACGTTTCCATCATGCTAATAATGCCTGTGAACTACCCTCCTCTACTCTGACACATTTACTCACCTTAAGCCACCCAGACAACTGGTCAAGCAACTTCTTTCCTTTTCCAGTATCCCAAGTTCACCTAACTGATCTTTTGCTATACCATTTTTTCCACATACCATTTCCCGATATTTAACAATTACAAAACAAAGGCCATTCTTTAATGGGCATGCATCTCCCCCATCACTAAACAAAGATGGTGTCCTTTATATCACATGATTCCTAAGTAATAGGATACACAGGTAACTAGTAATTCTTCTCTCCCCCATCTGAATGTGGCACCTACAAATGTCAGCTAAAATGAGTAGAAGCATGATGAACTGAAGGGTTTTATCTCCCTGATGCTGTCATATCTGGAAGGAGAAGGGGGGCATTTTGCAATTCCTTTAGTCAAAATTAATTTTTATTTATTATATTCACTCATTTGTTTGGCCAGGTTGGCATCTGGTCCTCCTGTGCTACTTCTTTAGAATATGGCCAAGACAGGTCAAACCAGAAGGGGGAATCATGTCAGCTTTCAAGACTAGTCTATTGGGCTTCCCTGGTGGCGCAGTGGTTGAGAGTCCGCCTGCTGATGCAGGGGACACGGGTTTGTGCCTCGGTCCGGGAAGATCCCACATGCCACGGAGCGGCTGGGCCCATGAGCCATGGCCGCTGAGCCTGCGTGTAAAGACTAGTCTATTATCTCTAATAATAGACTAGTCTATTATTAGCCCAGTTATCTGGGCTACTTTTCAATGACAGAACCAATCTGGGGCCATCGTGATGAGACATCTTTATGCCCAGGCCACCCATTTTGCTCTTAGCTGTCAAGTAATCTCACCAAAATATTAGTCAAAAGAAGCATATCTTCAAGACCCTAAGGAAAGAATATTGAGATGGCAGCTTTCCCACCTTCCCCCACTCAAGAACCACCATATTTAGGCTGAACCACTTTACAAAAACAACCAACACACTGGTTATCTTGTTATTTTTCCAATGTACCAAAATTATTCCCACCTGAGGGCACTCACTTTGCTGTTACTGTAACATGGAATTCTCCTCGGTCTTGCTTCATCTGATCTTTGCTCAGAAATCATCTCCTCGAAGATGCCTTCTAGGGACTTCCCTGGTGGCACAGTGGTTAAGAATCCGCCTGCCAATGCAGGGGATACGGGCTCAAGCCCTGGTCCAGGAAGATCCCACATGCCGTGGAGCAATTAAGCCCATGCACCACACTGCTGAGCCTGCGCTCTAGAGCCCGCGAGCCACAACTACTGAAGCCCGCATGCCTAGAGCCCGTGCTCCTCAACAAGAGAAGCCACTGCAATGAGAAGCCCGCGCACCGCAGCGAAGAGTAGCCCCCACTTGCCGCAACTAGAGAAAACCCAGGCGCAGCAACGAAGACCCAGCGCAGCTAAAAATAAATAAATAAATAAATTTATTTTAAAAAAAAAAAGATGCCTTCTAGCAATGCCATTCCTAGCACTTTCTATTTCCTTGATCTGTTTTTAATTTTCGCTTTACCACACCTATTGCTACTACCAGGAGACATTAAATTATATGTTTGTTTACAGCATATTTTGCACCCCCCGCCCCCCACATGGTAAGCTCTTGAGGTAGGGCCTTTGCTTTTCTCACTCACCGCTATATCCCCAGTGCATAAAATAGTGCCTGGTGGCCAACACGTATTTGTTGAATGACTGAATACACTCATATTGACTGCCAAATTACGTAACTTAAAAAAAAAAAGTGTATCCATCAAAATATTTAAGGAAACAATGGTTACACATAGTAGTCACCTTGGGTAGCTGTACACACACCTACTCCTCACAATGCTGCCTTTGCTGAAAACCTGTTGGGGACTCTTCTGCAAGAACTGTTTTCAGAGCCAGTTTATGAATTACGTGATTTTTTTTTTTTTTTACTTCATAAGCCATATTGTGTTTCAGTGTAAAAAAGCCAAAGTGAGCATAGAAAACACATGAGAATATATTTCAGGCTCTCAAGACAAGGCCTCAGAAATTCAGATGACTAGTGACATCAACTGACTAAGTATATCACCTCTCAAGAAAATGGACTGAAAGGGGTTAATGCTCACAGACATGAAGGCTCTGGAGTATGAAATTCAAAACACACACAGATCAAACTACCTGAGGACAAAAAAGTAAATTCTCATATTTCACTTCTGCTGGTAACTCTAAACATGCCTCTGTAGCAGAGTTGCTGCTAGACTGCATCCATTTTTCCAGTAACTTGGTGTCTTCAACCTGCCCAGACCCCAGCCCAGGGGATATGTGCTCATCTTCTCCCACTGATCTAGTCACACACCAACTCCTTCATAAGTTTGGGCACTCTATTCTGTCCTAAAAAGTATTCTTTCAAAACAGCTAACAATAAAAGGAAAATCTTTACAAGCAAAAGAAGTGAAAGAACAGGGAAAATGAGAACAATACCCTGTTTCAGGGTAAGAGCTCACACAAAAGTATATTTAAATGTCATACGGCAGATAGAACGCTGAGTTCCTACCTTAGAAATGCTTCCTCCCAGTAGGCAGCAAAGAGAACCCCACCAGGACGAAAACCCACTTTTGCCCCATGCATTCCAATACTATCTGCCAATCAGAAAAAAAAAGACAATGAGTGCTGTCAGGCAACTCCACTGATCTCTCTCTTTCTGTAGCAATAAGGCCAGCTAAGGACTAAAGATAATGAGAAAGACTAGAAGGAAAGTAGACACGCAAAAGGTACTGTGTCAAGTGATATATGAGATGTGTTCATAAGTGAATAAGTTATTCCAGAGCCATACAAACAAATCAATCTCTTTACTGGAGAGGCACACCTCTCCTCTGTATATTATTCAGATATACTAACACAGAAAAGATCACATCATCTTGTTTATGGATACATTTAATGTCCCTTGCCCTCCCCACCTTTCAAAACATAATAGTATACAAAATATAAAATATCTTAAATATTTATAAAAATCGCAAGAAAAAAATAGAACGTATGAAAATATTTTTATCTGAGTTCTCCCTCACTGTTGAGAGGCAGCTTAGTTTGCCTTGAGTTCATAATTATTGAGTGGATAGGAGTATGCCCTGCCTAATACTATTCTGTCCCGGAGGAGCTTAAATAAAACATAGTAGTTGCAGAAGAGGATGAGAGCCATGGAAAGTGTATGGTTCCACTTCTCCGACCGCAGCAAGGAATAGAGCTGGTAGAAGACAACACTGCCCTCAATAAGGATAAGCAGATTTAACAGCCTTAATGGACGATGAAACAGGAACTGTAAGGAAGTTAAAAAGCAAAATGTTATTTCATAGAAAAGACTGCAGTAATTCTCACATTTTTCTTCTAAAATCATTTCATATTTACAGGCTCCTATGTGCACTAACAAGCAGATCTGCTTATTGAGTATCAATCAGGCTATTTCTTGCTATAGAGACCCAAACCCTTTCTTTTTTGCTCAAGTAATAATGAAATACATTTTATTTCAACACCCCGAGACATGAAAAGGGATTATATCCAAAAGAACTCTGCCTCAAAAATTTTTCCTAGATTTTATCTTAGGTATATATTTTATTTGAGATAACCAAAAGTATATTTATTTATCTAAGACAGGGGCTGGATAAAGGACCAAATGGGAAATATTTTAGACTCTCAAGTCAAGAGACAAAAACTGAGGATATTATATGTAGGTAACTCATAACCACTTAAAATGTAACTGCTTAAAAATACAAAAATCATTGTTAGTTTGTGGGCTGGTCTAAGACATAAACACCTACACTAGACAAGTCTGCAGGGAGCAGTGGTAATATAAGTTGAAATATCAATACAGTAATTTCTTAATTTTTTTCTTAAACTGTTACCCACCATGCTGTCTGTTTTATTTTGTTCAGTTTTTCTGGGTATTGATAAGTAGGGTGAACAAAGACAGAACAATGAGGAAGGAGGGAAAAATTAGTCAGAATTAGAGTTTGGCTAAAAACAGACCTGTTTTCATTCCCACCAAATTCTTCAGTCTAAGAGGCTAAATCCTGGTTGACTAATAAAAATGTATTATGAATAGGAAGATAGAGGTCAAAGAATGCAAACTGTGATAATGGTAGTATATCAGATCTAAAAGAATAATTTAGACCTCAGGACTCGAATCCGAGAATAAACCAAATCATCATGACAGCTCTGAAAGGTAACTGGGTTCTCAGGATCCTTCTGCAGGAGGAAGAACATGTTTACCTGGGTTTTATTACATGATCTCCAGTAATATCATGTATAAAATTGGCTCAGAATTAACATTCTAAAAAAAAAATTAGGCAATTTCAGATTCTGTGGCAATTATAACAATTATAATTAAATGTGCAAGTAAGCTATAAACTGAATGAGTAAAAATGTGAGGACAGCCAGAGCTACAGGTAATAGGCACATTTTAAGTGAGTGTTCTTAAACAGTGTGCCTAAGAATCATTTCCAAATATGCAAATGCTGCAAATTCCTAGGATCCTTCAGAGATTCTGACTCTAAGTGACCCAACGACCACTTTGAGAAGCACTGATTTACTTTGGTCACGCAAAATCAGTAACAAGTTAATTTCCTTAATCTTTCTTCTATGGATTCCACCTGATTCTTCAGCTGTCCAACACTAGCAAGGAAAATACTTATATTTCAAGCAGAAAATTTTAATAAACTATCTGGTTACTGTAGGTTTCCAGGGGACTGCAAGAGCCAACAGATGTCCTTAATGGCCTGTGGAACTCAGCTGGCTGAATTAAATATTCTGTGTAGAAACCAAACGCTTATGTAGTTGTAACCTAAGTCCACTCCTCCATCTTAAGGCAATCCCACAGGAGTCTAGCAGATTACGGTATTTCCCTCATTCAAAGGCCTTTCACCTTGCCCCACCCTCCCCTACCATATTATTTATAAGCATCCTGCCCTGATGCAAGTTTCCAGTATTTAATTAAAAGGCCCTTAGTAGCAAACGCCCGCAGAGCCAGGAAATCCAAGTACCCTCATGAGGAGCTGGGAGGGATGGAGGGAGTGATGGGAGGGAGAAAGGGATTCAAGCATCTAAAAAATAAATAAAATTTCCAATTCTTTTTCAGAACATGCTCTCCATTCAAAGGCAATGCACTGCACTATGTACATTTTTACTAAAAACAGTTCCCTGCATGTACCTTCTTTTCCCCTCTCCCATCAATCAGCTGGCCTTTCTCTTATAAGTAAATACTTTTGCCTCCTAGAGCCAGAATTTCTGGAAAAGTGAAAGATCAAATAGAACATAACCCAAGGTGTAAATTCAAATGGAACAGAACCTGGATTTAGTGGGTGTCTACTGCTTTTTCCTTTTAAACTTTTAAGCCTTTTTTCCTTTTAATCCAAGAGAAGGTAAAAGGCCACAGATCATGGCATTTGCCTGAGTTTCAAAGGGGAAGTCAAAGTATTTTAAGGAGATGATACATATGACAAATACCAAAAAATAAAACCATCACATTATTACTATATTAAATATTGCTTAAGGATACACAGATATATTATAATAAGGACACCACTAAACCAAACTACTGCAAATAAAAGTTGTAAGATGAAAAATGGAAGTCTCAAATAATTGTGTACTTGTTTCAAGTAACACTAGACTCAACAAATTCCAATGTAACTAGAGAAATCAGTCAAGCTATTAAAATTGAGAAATAGGTATTTTCACCTTCAATCTGCCTTTCAGAAGATATTTCCAAAGGACAGAGGCCATTATAGTAGTAAAATAATTACCCTGTCTTAATTTCCTAGTATGTGCTACACACTGTGCTAGATGCTTACACACAGAGTAACCTCCTAACACTTACTCCTAAGCTTATGTTTGAAAAGAAATAAGCTGTACTTGCATAAAAGCGGGCATGGGATACGTCTGAAGGCACTGCCACGTTGTAAGGCCCCATGGCTCTATATAAGCACCTGCTGTGTCGCACCAGCACCCCTTGAGGCCATATTGTATTTTCTGACCAACTAAGGGAGAAAGAAATGCAATGTTAGCCTATTGGCAATTACAGATAAGACAGTGTCTGGCAAGGCCAGCTATACTTCTATGGAAAGGATTAAGTATTCAAGGCTTCATCTGCCTGAATTCTGAAAATACAGTAATTCCATGGTCAAACTGGAAGCAGTCAAAAAGGATTTATTATAACTTCATTGCTATATAGTAGAGAGAAACTGCAAGGTTAACTCAGTGTCAAAGGACTTAAGAGGCTTAGGAGAACAAGCAGAAATAAACGTGTAAGGAAGGCATCTATGAGCCAGAAAATCCAGTGTAAGCAGGTGGACTGTCACCTCAATCCCAAGTGAGTAGAGTCTATTGGTGGAAATGCTAGAGGGAACAAACAAGAAGAGAGAGTGGATGGTAGTAAGAGTAGTGGAGAAATTCACACATTATCAAACTAGCATGACATTTACTGCAGAATTACATCCCAAAAAGCTACAGAAAATCTATTCATTTATCACACACTTCAAATGCTTCATATATGTGAGAAGCTATACAGAAGAACACAGAGACACACAAGGTACCGACACACAGACTTTTCTTTTTACCACTTTCTTGGTTTTTTTTTTTATAGAGGTTTCTCTAGGAAAAAGAAGTTATGGAAGAAGCTTCATTCTTTCCAGCACCAACGTAATGGAGTTGGGGTGGGGATGGGGATCTTCAGGTTAAGCTTTTTAAAAAATCTAAGTTAATTCATCTCTTCCTGATTTTGGAAAGGTTAGTTTCCTAGGGTAAGAACTGGGACAGCATTTTAAATATGTTAAAGAAAAAAAAAATTCTAGCACCCTGAAGCTTTCCCAGTTCAGAAAATGTTCCGTCAGCCTTGCTCACACTTACCAGCATTAAAATGATGATACACCTCATGGCCATGTGCCATCAGGAGCCTGAAGATGTACAGTACTAGTACTGTGGATTGTATTTTCAATTTTTATTGAAATTTGTCCTTTGCCCACAGTCGGGTTTCTTTTCAGCCTGGCCCAATCTCTTTTCAGTTCCTGGGCTTGAAGGCCTGTGCTAATCTGTATCAGACATCAAGGCAAATAATTGAAGGGAGCACTCTGAGGGGGAGGGGGAAGGGAATGTCACCTCAATCTGTCCCCCTTAATTAGGAAAGAATTTCTAGGTGATGAAATTTGTGAAATGTTCAAATTATAAAAGGAAGATGAAGATGGTCCAGGTCTGAGAGAGAGGCATGATGAAAGGCTCAGAAGCAAGTGAATAAAAGGGTTCTAAAGTCAGTCATTCTGGACCACAGGGATCATGCAGAGAAATGACTAATAGGGGGACACAATGAGAGGAATACTCAGAAAGAACTCACTTAGGGACAGTTTTCATTCAAATTTAGGAAAAGCAGGGCAACATTCATTAGTGAGTTTAGGAAGAAAAGAAAAACACAATTAAAGATGCAGGCTAAAACAACAACAACAAAACAAAAAACCCAAAAAGCAAAAATAAATAAACAAATAAAATGCGGGCTAGGAAAATCACTAGTACAAATTTACATTTATTAGAAAGAAAAGATGAGAGAAGCAAATTCCAGCTGCCTAAGTATAAGACAATTATCCAGCAGCTATTCAGCTGTGGCAATGAAGATGAGAAGATGAATCTCACAGTCTTCTAAAGAAAATTAAAAATATGTCATGACTCTTTGAATTTGGGCAAAGGGTTAGGACTGAAAAGAAAACTCCAAGATTATAGCTTGGGAAATAAATTACACATTCTAGAGTGACTGGGTAGTTGAAAGGTAGGAGGCATTTAAAGAGGGACTGGGGGTGGTGGTGGAAATGAGTTAATATCCCCTGCGTTCAGTTTAGAGGGATGATAAGCACCCACGTAGACAAAAACTAAAAATTCAGTGTTCAAAGCCAAGAACAAGAGTGACATACAAAGCAAATAAACATGATCAGCAGCATGTAAAAAGGTGTTAAATGGTGTTATCCTCTAACCTACTTACATGTGCTGTGGAGCATTGCTGTAGGACCCATGTTCAAGCTTCTGCCACTTGCCCAGGTGAGCAGCTGATTTATGTAGCAAATCACAGTATTTGGATGGCAGCAATTGTGTGGTGAGCATGACAAAAGCATTGATCCACACCATAATGAGGTGCTCACATGACCAGCGCATGTCATAGTACTGGGTACTCTGGAAGAGATCAGAAGAGAGAGAAATGATCCATGTACTGGTGAGCAAGAAGGCAGGGATGGTGCGTGTACATACACCCTGCAGACAAATGCCACTCTGAGTCACCCATGCATTTGTTGTCCTCCTGTCTGTGCAGAAAGTTCAAGAGCAGAGTCCTCCAAAATCCTTCAACCTGACTTTCTGGCTGTATGAGTTAGGGCTGGAAGGGAGAGGCGATTATACTTTAAGTGCTTCCTTTCTAGAAGTGAATGCTCTCTGTGAATGACCACTCCAGCTGCAGATATGCTTCTCAATGGGTGAAGGAAGGGCACTGAAATGACCCAAAAGATTTTGGGCCCAAGTGACATCCAGACCATTTTTCTTTTCTACTAAAGTAAAGTTTAAAGGTTAGATTAAATTCAAGGAAACTCGTGATAACCATGATAAGATCAACCATGGTAGGCTGAATTTTACTGAAACCTCAGTCCTCTTAAGCTACCACATATGGATTCTAAGTACAAGTTTATCCTCCCCAGAAACTGGGTGGAAAAAAAAAAATCTTAAAAAAAAAGAAGAAAAGAAAAGAAAAGAAAAAAAGAGGGGACCACCACGGGTGCATCACAGATATGGAAATATCTATCCACCAACCAGGTATTAGTGCACTCCAGATGCAGCCGAACTCCACCATCCAGGCTGCCAAAGGGGAGACAGAGAAAAGGGGGATTAAATAAGAAATACCCAGTTTATGTCATTCACACACAAATCCAGGAAGCACATAAAAGCAAGTAACCACTTACCTTCACAAAACACAGGGGGAGAAATGCAACATAGTAGGCACTGAAGAGAGAGTTGAAGAGAACTTCCTTGATTCTGTGGTTGAAATCTGCTTTCAGACATTCTACTTCATTGCGAATGAGGTCTGGAGACAGGGGGCAGCTGTGGCTGGGGATGGGTGTGGCATTATTAAACTGTTCTTTTAGAGACTCCAGCAATAAGGAGAGGAAGTCTTTGGACTTGGCCAAGCCACCCACAGTCGAGGCACTCTCCTCTACCGCCTGGTGCTGAACCATGTAGTTATAGTCTGCAAGAAGAAGATGAGCTCTACTATCTTGGTGGAAACAGCAGAGAGGAACATAAACACCAAACCTGCAGAAAAAAGGGAGTATGAAAATGAGACCACAGAAGCCACCTAAGATCAGATCATATAACTGTGTTAGTAAAATAGTCATGATTCATCAGAGTGAATGTAATATAATAGGGACTTTGCTGACAGTAAATCCATTATCTGGGAAGCTCTTTAATTTCTTCCCACAAAGGCAATATATATTCACTGTAGAATAGGAAACTACAAAAAATCACGACAATATAAACTACCCGGAAATAATCATTTTTATAATTTTTACAGTTGGGTGCACAGACTTTATACTTTTTCTTTTATATGTTTAGCCTCATACAGTATAAACTGTTTTGTATACTGCTGTTTTAACTTTGGGTGTGTGGTTATGTAGCATGTATATATTGAGCTTTTTCTTATGGCATTAAATATTTTTCAGCAACAATTCTAAAAGGTACTATAGTATTCTCATGTAGCTATACCATAACTTACCTATTTCTCTCTTGTTAGGACTCAGGCTGTTTCTTACTTTCCACTACTATAAATACCATTGGGATAAGTAACTCCCCACACAGATTTTTGTGTACACCTGGTATTTTTTGAATGGCTTGCCCTTCAAGTTTCCTCTTCTTAGTGAGGGGGCTCCCCTGCGTACCCCCCCACCACATCACCCACCATACTTCTACAGGCACTCCGAGTTCCTCTTGCCTGGTTCTTTTTCTCCACTGATCTTACCACTCCATATATTTTACATGTTTTTTATTTTGGGTTTTTTCCCTTTGGTCTATCCTCCCCTCACTACAATGTAAGCTCCAAGAACCAGAGATTTTAGTCTGCTTATTAGTTCACTGCTATATCCTTGACGCTTAGAATAGTGGCTGAAACATACTAGGCACTAAATAAACACTTGACGGATTAATGAAAACAATTCTAAAAGTACAATAAATAAATTTTTACAAGTAAAATTACTTGGCTAAAGGACTGAAAATTTGTGAGCCTTTTCATAACTTCTTATAGTTGCTCCAACTTTGGTTCCTTAAAAAAATTTTAAACACTTTCCCAAGTCCTCATTAAGTAACTTCCACATTGTAACGTAGGTATGTATAGGTATGTATTATATTGGGTTGGCCAGAAAGTTCGTTCGCATTTTTCCGTGCCATCTTGCGAAAAACCAGAATGAACTTTTTGGCCAACCCAATAAATAAAATGATCATTTCACTGACATAAATTTAGATATTAAAAATAGCAAATAAAAAGACATTTAGTTATAAATTTTATTTAAAAAAATTAACAAACGTCACTTGTTCATAGTTCTCTATAGAGGGAGAAAGGATGAGCTTCTTGTAAGTTAAGAAGATGGTTAGCAGCAGCTCTGGGATCCACTGTGAATGTGCCCTGGAGTAGTAGGATGGGAGGGGGTAAATGCAAAAGTATCATGCTAGGATCATAAGCTTGAAATGAGCTTGCCGCTCTGTCAATTTCATGTGACCATGTCCAGGCTAGCCTGCCAGAGCATGAGAGACTCATGGAGCAGAGCTTAGCTGTCCTAGTTGCCTAAACTGACAGCTGGTCAATCCCACATATGTGACTGAACCCAGCTAAGATCAGGAGAGTCTCCTGACTTCCAGCTGATCCCAACACATACACACATACACAGTAAATACATAGTGTGGTATGCTACCATGGCTCTGTGGATGTTCGTTACAGCATCATATGTCAATAGATAACTGATACAGGGTAACATCAAAGGCTTAGAGCATGGAGAGCTTTGTAAGGTAAAGAAAATGATTCATGAATTTTAAAAAGGGTTAGTAAATATTTAGACATAAAACTTGTTTAAATTACATGATTATTTCATTGTTTTATAGGGATGTGGAGAGCCTCCAAGAATAAAGCTTATTTACATATCTAAAAAAATTAAAATGTTTGCTGGCCATTTGATGATGGTAATCCTCTTCAGTCTGGCCAAAATATTCCTCGATATATCCATAATAAGCCTTTCAAGTTAGACAGGGTTAACCTTCTAAATGATTCAACCAGCTATTGTTGATAAATAGAATAACTAAATCATGTTTCCAACTCAAACAGCTGAAATATTAATCTAGAAATACAGAAACAATTGATGTAAAATATACACCTTATAAGAAATCTGAATCATGAAAAATAATGTTTATAACAAAGAAAATTCACTCTGTATGAATTGAGTTGATGAGTGCCTTAAGTAATCGTTTAAGGAATTTAATTAGAACCTAACAGAGTACAACCAATAGAAAGACTCTTCCTGCCATCTTGGCCACACAATCTCTGAGTATGCCTTTATTTTATACTGTCACTACCCATATAAATTCATGCTTACACTGCAGCACCATAAACAGTATAGAGCAATGATTCTCAAACTTGAGCTAGCATCAGAATCATCTAGCAGGCTTGTTAAAAGACAAATCCTGTGCCATACTTTCTAGAGTTTCTGCTTCAGTTTGGGGTAGATTCTGAGAATTTCTATTTCTAACAAATTTCCAGGTGATGCTGATGCTGCTGTTCTGGGAACCACATTTTGAGAACTACTGAATTTAGAGTAATGGTTAAGACAAGGGCTCTGAATCAAAAAGACCTGAGTCTTTCTCATTAATTGTCTAACCATGGGAAAAATTTTTAACCACTTAATCTGTCTTTACCTATGGCAAAGATTGCTAATTGTCTGCCAATAGCTACTGTTCTCCTGTTTCTTCCATAGCAACAGAATTTTTTTGTGTGTGTGAATAGCGGAAATATTTATTCCACCCAGCAAAGTCAAGAAAAGTGAAGTTCCAACACTATTCTTTTGTCTTCTCAGTTATAAATAAAAGAACAGGCATTTTATAAAAGACATACACCTGGCAAATGAACACAAAAATGTTCAACATTATGAATCATTAGGGAAATGCAATCAGACTATAGTGAGATACCTCTACACACTTTAAAACAGCCAATATTTTAACTACTGACCATACCAATCAAATACTGGTGAGGACTACAGGGGAACTGGAATGCTTCCATATTGTTGACAGGAATGCATAAGGGTACAGTTATTCATTTTAGAATATGAAACCATATATTCATATGAAGACTTTTATGCACATGTTCATAGTTAGTTTATCTGTGGTGGCCAAACTGGAAACAAACCACAAAACCCCTTCTGTTATTTTTCAGGAAGAAAATGAACTACTCATACCTGCAACTTAGATGATTCTCAAAATAATTATGCATCATGAAAGAAAAAGACAAATACAAAAGTATACATTAAGATGCCAATGGTATTAACAGTCTAGAAAACACTAATTGAGTGGGAAAAGAAGTAAATCAACTGTAGTTGCCTGGGAGTCCTGGGAGACATGTCAGAAGGTAGATATTGGTGTTGTATGTTTGTTATTATGATGATGGATCTGTGGCTTTACAAGTATTAAAACCTACCAAGCTGTACATTTTAGGTATGTTCATTTCAATGCATACCAACTATACAGCTCAATTAAGTTTTAATAGAAATTGGCTTCACATAAAAATCTGAATCTCCTTTTCAGTAGAACTCTGCCAACCACAGGTTAACTCCATCACCTCTCCTTGTACATGGGAGGGATTCTGTTGCAGTAGCAATGAAGACTGGTGAGCAATGAAAGGTGTTTCCACTTGAGTTATCCAGGAACTCTGCCTGGGTCCTAAAAATCACATGCCTGGACTACACGACTTCCACTCTCATGCAGCTCCAAAATCACTGGTGGTTCTCACAACTGTCCTCATCTCAGGGTGACCTCTGAACCCATCAAAAATTCTGACATCCAGGACTCAACATTAGTCCCACAGAGCCCTGCAGTCTACCCTGGGAGGCCTTGCACAACAATGCAAATTAGACCACAACTGGAGTGAACACTATTCTCTGCCATGATACTATCCCCACTGAGGTATACAAAGTTTGCAACACTCACAAAACCTATTCCTTTTCATCTGGACAGTTCAACATGGCTTTCAACATCAGTCCAACAGTGAACAAAAACCAAGAAGAAAGCGGGCTTAAATAATAGTCTTTATTATGGCATAGAGCAGAGCAAACTGAGACAGATAGTTTCCAAAAAGGGTGACCTGGAGATAGAAAAATCCATCCCGAGCATGACATGAGACAATGCCACCAAAGAAGGTGCAAACTTCTGTGAGCCACCAGCAGAACCCAGCCTGGATCTCCATGGTCAAAGGTGGTTAGGTCCTGTCTTAGCCAGCTGATGGAAGAGAAGGACAACACCTAAGTGCTCAGCCTATTAATGCTTCACTCCAGGGGACAGGAGAGCACAAAGGTCTACCTACCCTGACCACAGTGAGGTGACTAATGCCCAGTATGGGGATCATAGCAACAGGATTTTTAGTTGAGATACAGCTGCCCTGCTAAAGACTTAATTTTCCAGCCTCCCTTACAATCTATCCTGCTAGGCAGGGTGGAGCAAAAAGATAGCAGAAGCTTGAGTTCTGACACCATGGAGTTATCACAACTATCCGAGATAACTTAAATACACACTATACAGGAGAGAGGAATGAGCTTCTAACTTTTTAAAGCCACAAGCATTTTGGATCTGTTATAGCAGACTAAATATACTACCTCCTGGGTCATTGTGATGATTTCATGAGGTGATGTTTATAAGCACCACCTAGCCCGACACTTAACACTTAATAAGAGCTTAATAAATGATAGCTATCTGTTAACATCTAACAAAGAAGGTTTTAGCCAAATGTAAACAAGTTAAAACTATGCAAAATAGTTTAATAAGCTAATATGTACAATAATATACCACTACACAACCATCAGAACGGCTACAATTTTTAAAATGGAAAACATCAAATGCTGGCAAAAATGTGTAGCAACCAGACTCTTATAGAATTGCTGAAAGAATAAAATGGTATCACTTCTTTGGGAAAAAGTCTGGTAGATTCTTATAAGACTAAACATACTCCTACCTTGTGGCCTAGCAGTGCCACTCCTACATATTTCTCCCAAGAGAATGAAAAGGTATCTTTGCAAAAAAAGACTTGTATTAATAATGTACATAACAGTTTCTTTTTAATAGTAGTCAAAAACTGGAAATAAGCCAGATGTCCAACAATAGAATAAACAAACTGTGGTATATTCATACAATGAAATATTACTGATACATGCAATCACACAGACAAATCTCAAAAACAACATGCTGAGTCAAAGACAGCTTGAAAGTGTACATACTGTACAATTCCATTTATATGAAATTCTAGTATTGGCAAACTAATCTATGGTGTAAAAAAAAATCAAAACACTGTTGCGGGCTTCCCTGGTGGCGTAGTGGTTGAGAGTCCGCCTGCCGATGCAGGGGATGCAGGTCCGTGCCCCGGTCTGGGAGGATCCCGCGTGCCGTGAAGCGGCTGGGCCCGTGAGCCATGGCTGCTGGGCCTGCGCGTCCGGAGCCTGTGCTCCGCAACGGGAGAGGCCACAGCGGTGAGAGGCCCGCGTACCGCAAAAACAAACAAACAAAAAAAAAAAACACTGTTGCCTCTGGGAGACAGGGGGATTGGGTTTGACTGGAAAGGGACATGAAGGAACTTCTGGAGTAATGGTGATGTTCCATACTGGGATAAGGTTTTGAGTTACACAGATATATGCATTTATCAAAACTCAGCATATGTACACAAGATTTGTGAATTTTATTGTATATGAATTTTATTTGGTGGACAGAGCTAATGAAAATATTCTTCATTGGTAGGAGAGCCACACCTCTTGGGGATAATCTTAGTTTATGTCTATTGTCTCAGCTGTATCCCAGTTTAGAAAATAAGTTATATGGTCACTCTAACCACTGATTTTTCCAATTTTCTGGACTCCTGCTTTATATTGAAGAATTTCATTTCCCTCCCTTTTATACTATCATTTGCATGACCCAAATAATTTAAGACTTACTAATAAAATAGTAAAACTGGAGTACTCACGGGTAGCCAAGGAAAAGGAGATTGAGGACTGAATGGCTTCGGAAGAGATTGACCAGGGTCCAACAAAGTACCCATCCACACAAAGTAAGTAGCACCAAGCGAGCTGATATGAGAACCATGTAGTGAATCATTGATGCTGCACCCGCCTTAGTGGCCTGTAAGTTTGGAAGCACCAAAAAGAAAAGCTTATAAGTGACTTTATTCAAAAGCAATGTGACTCAAGTAAGGACTTAGTAGATTTAGTGGAAGGTAAACTGTGGGAAAAAAAAAAAGAAAAAAAGGAAGGAACGAAGAAGAACTGTCCATCCCACCTTATCTTCCTCATTCTTGAAGATTCGATCTCCCCAGGGACAGTTAGCTGTTTCCTCCTTGAATTCCCATAGTCCCTCACAAAGACCTCCTTTAAGTTCTTATGATATTGTCTAATTTATTTACACTGGGGCTTCTCAAAGTATGTTCCATGACCCACACTCATCAGAATTACTGGGGCTGCTTACTGAACATGCAAATTCCTACTGACTTTCACCACCAGATATAGGGAACAAAAATCACAAGTCAAGGAACCTGTATTTTAACAAACCAACGAGTGATTTTTATATACATAAAGATAGTGAGCCACTAATTTATCTGACTCCGGACTAGACTGCCATGGCCTAAACAGCAGCAACAGTGTTTCTATTTTTCCTTGAATCCTCCCCCCAATCTGTTTGCTGAATTAATGTTTAATAAATTACCGAAACTTCAAAAAATAATCAGATCTTCTTTGACAAATCCCTATATAAATGTTTCTTTTTTGATTTTTGCAAATATGAAAATAATGCATGATCATTACTTCTAGTTCTTTACATCACAGCTGTTCAAATATTCTTCTTTAATCCCAGATCTTTAAAACTGATTAAATATAGTAAGAAAACATACTTGTCTAAACATGAAGCTCTGCAATGTCATTTTCTTTCAAACTGAACTAGGAAGGAATGAGTGAAATGCAGGGGAAAATGACAGATTCTTATAACCTCTAAAATAGCATTGTCAGAACTGAGAAAAACAATTTTCTGGAGTCAACAGCACATGGGAAAGGAGAAGGAGTTTTTCAGGTCCCTCCTGTATATCCATTTCTTAGTTCACCCAACATACTACACAGCATATATAACATATACACAATATATACTATTTGTGTAGTTACTTATAAATGCAAAGAAGCAGTTGAATTAATACTACGGCCTGGGCCTTAAACTGTAGAGTAGGCTCAAGCTGTTCTCAGCCCAGCAGGACAAAGAGTTGCATATCACTCCCCTGATACATACCTCATGCCAATGTACCTCATGTGCCAAAGTCAAGGGAAGGCATCTAAGCCACTGGAATTACTCCATTGCCTCCATTCTCAAATGTTTAGGATTAGTAATAAATTTAAGTTTAGTATTTGTCTTTCTTGGTTGGGCAGCCTCATAAAGACATCATAAGGACCTCAAAAAGAGGTCTTATTTGTCTTGGTTGCCACTGTATCCCCAGGACCTTGTGTAGTATCTGTCACATATAGGTAGCACAAGAGCTTGGGGTTTGGAATAAGGCAAAAATGACGAATACATTCAAGCTCTGCTGCCCTGGTGACACTGGGATGAGTGTGACGAGGAAAAGAGTATGTTGCTATTGGAGAGTAAATAACAGGAGATCCTAACCTAGGGAGGGTCAAGATTAGTCCTATGCAAGTGTGGATGCTGTCATTTTAAAATTCTAAGTTTTAGTAAACTCAAACAAATGTCTCTTGCTAGCAACTCCACAAATGGTATATAAATAATTTCAAGTGAATGTTACTTGAAACAATGTTTTAGATGCAACTCTTTATTTACATACATACAACTCTTCTTAACAACAGTTACCTAAAATCCATCCTATTTTTACTGCAACTATCAAAATTAGAAAGATTGTACTGGAGAACTCGGAAGATAGAACTAAGCTCCTATTGGACAAATGAGATTTCTAACAGTTGAATTAGTATATCACACTTGAATTTTAAATATACTGTAAGAAAACCTTTGAAAAAGAACTAGCACAATTCATGTAAGAGTAAAGAAATTAATTTATAATTGCATTCAAATTATACTTGGACATTTCACATTTTCAACCTCTAACTAGCTCTAGCTACAAGTGATAGAATACAGTGAATGAGCTGTTACCTCTGAGATGAGGGCCCATACAAGCCTCCTCGCAAGCATCACTGTGATGAATGCTGCCAGGTGGTAATCAATGAGATGAAAATTCTATAAGAGAAACAAATAACTGTATCAGAAAGAAATATGTGTATCCAGTTGGAACTACTACATGAAGCGGTTTGCCCCCTCAAAAGACTGTCCTATATCATCTTACACTTACAGACCACAGGAATTTGAGGGACCTTGAAGAGACTACCTACCTTCTACTTCTTTCATGACAAACTGCTTTAACTTTTCAAACACTATTTTAAACTATCTGGAATGTAACCTTCTCCTTTTTTGCAAGTTTACTGTATTAGAAGGAAAAGATTACAGTTTTGGGTTAACAAGTGATAACCTGCAGAATTATGGCAAGAATAATTATCTAAAATGCCATATTTATAATGAGTGTCAAATTTAAATTCCCAGGCTTCAAGAGTTACTGTTGTTGGTCTCTCTTTATGAAAGCTTATATTAATCCAATTGGGCATCTACTAATCTAAACTCCCTACTCACTGATACATCAATACATTCAGTCTTTTCCCCTTAGCTTGATTTAAAAACATGTCTTATATTTGATCTCTTCTTCCTATAAAATGATAGCATTACCTAGATGCTATGTATGGTTCCTTCTAGTTCTAAGTCTGTATATATAACTGTGATAATAAACAAAATGAAAAATCAATAGCAAAAAGAAAGTTGCGATGTATTTTCATTTTGATGGTCAGAAGGTCTGTAAGTTTCCACAGTCCTCCTTCAAGAATTTCTCAACTTATTCAATAAATATGAACTAGACACCCACAGCGTGCCATGTAGTCTTCTAGATACTGAGGATACAATGCTGAAGAATGATAGACAAGATTCCTGCTCTCCTGGATCTTACTTTTTACTGCAGTGTGAGAGAGAAAGGGGATGGCAGAGATTACTAGTTGTTTCTTCTGCCATCACAAAATTTAACTGGACACTGACTCCTAGCTGACTAAAGGTTCATTTCTCAGCCTCCCTTGCAATAACTACTTGCGGCTAAGGGACACGAGGGAAAGTCATGTGTGTGACTTCCAAGCCATGCCCTTAAAGGAAAGAGCTGTCTCTTTCTGCTTTCCTCCTTCCTGCCAGCTGCATGTGATGACAGGAGTTGGAGCCTTTGGACCATGGTGTCTGAAAGAAGCACACTGGGTGGCAGAGCAACAGATACGAAGAGTTGCCACACTGGCCTTTTATCACCTACCTACTTTTTATACAATAGGGAAATAAACATCTGTTCTGTTTTAGACACCCTGTTACAGCAGTTAAACCCACATCTTTAATAATAAGTTGCTTAAGGGGGGAGGGCAATGACAATAAACAAACTAACAAGCAAAAGCATTTCAAATAGTTATGCTGCTGGTAAGAAATAAAACAATAATGACTGGGAAGGGAAGTGCAGAACCAATTTAAATTGGTGCTTAGGGAGGATATCTCTGAGAAAGTGGCACTTGGGCTTACAGCTGAATGACAAAAAAGCACAAGCCATGACAAGATCTGGGGGCAGAGAGCTCCAGGCAGAGGAAAAAGTAATCACACAGCCTCTAAGGCAGGGAAATATATGCCTGGTATGTCTGAAAATCAGCAAGAAGGCTGGAATGAGGTAATGAGCAATAAAAGATTGAGTTTATATATTTTTTCCTATGGGGAAGTCATAAGAGTGTTTTAGGCAAAGGGTGCCATGATTCTATTTGTATTTTAAAATTATCATGCTGATTGCTGTGTGGAAAATACTGTATTGGGGAAAGATCAGTTAAGAAGCTATTGCTTTCAATTCAGATGAGAAAACATGATTGATTGAACAGGGTCAGTAGCGATGGAGTGGCCAGAATTGGGATACATTTTAAAGGTAAAGCAGTCAGATTATCAAAAGAGTGGCTTACCATTCCTCAGACCATTTCCTTTTCCCTGTCTCTCTTTAAGTGTCTGGATTCTAACAATTATTTATCCCCTCTTAGTTTTGAGACTCCTCCCTGCTCATCCTACTCCTTCAAAATAATGGAAGCAAATACACTACAGGCCCTAGCTAATGTCTGGGGGTCTTATGTATCACCAATCCATCTAAGACATTTTTTATATCGAAAAATTTAAGTGCCTAACGTACCTCATTGTTAAGCAAATTTTGTTATATTCTAAATCATTGAAAACTAGTAATCTACTTATGATTAACTCTTTATAAACCAGAATATTTGATTAATCAAAGTGCTCCACTCCTGAATATTCTGAATAACTTACTACACCACTTTTAGCTTTTATGTTTCTTAGGGTTAAGACTCACTCAGCTAATTATCTGATAGCTAGAATGAAACTTTACATATTCAGGTGCCCACATTTTCTTTTTGATAATTATTAAGATCTTGAAAATGAAAACAAAAAACCATATATATAAATCTGACAAATTTCTGAGTCAGGCATGCCTAACAGAAGAAAACTTAAAAGAGACAAACCACTAGTTAAGACATAAGTCCCTTGGCGACCATCCCAGTCAAGCTGCCACCTGCCATGCTTGAATACCTTCAGTGGTGGGAAGCATTTAGGTCTGTAGCAGTCCATTCATCTTTAACAGCTCACTGATGCAGGCCCTCAGATTCATAGGCTAAAATCTTATTTGCTATTCCACATATGTTACTCTTAGCTCCACAATTAAATTTTAAGCTTTGTGTGATCAAGGATTATGTGTGGCAGATAAGTTAGCCAGTCCACATGGTAACCTCCTTTAAGTGTGCCTTCTTCTACTGTAGAGACTGGAAAGCTAAAAACTACATTTCCGAACTTTCCTGTAACTAAAGTTACTAGATTTGATTTAATGTCTGCCAATCACATAAACTGAGTAAAGTGGGGAGAGGGGCAGGGTAAAAGGCATCCATTTTTGGTGGTATGAGTCAGGCAAAGGAAGCATAATTCTGGAGTCAGCAGCCATAGCAGCACTGGCTCCCTCCATTTCAAGGCAACATTTATAAGGGACTTTCACAAGAACTCCTGTCAGAAATGGTTGACTGGGAAAAGAGCTCTTTGATTACCTTAAAATTCAGTAAGTGAGAAGTTTCCATGGGATGTCAAAGTGAAAAGAGTATAACAGAACTAACCAATGGTACTCATGGAGTAAACACAGAATAAATACAGGAAGCATAGCAGATAGGTCTGAATTTGAGTGTTCACTTTGTCACATGTGATTTTAAGCCAGTTTCATAACTTCTAGGTCTTATATTTCTCACTTATAAAATGGGAGTCTTAGAGTAGTACCTACCTGTTTTTAGAAAGAATAAATGAGATAATACTTGCAAATAACATAGTAAATATTTTAGCAAGTATTTGCCAATGTCATTGTTAAGATACTGAGGTATTTACTTATAAAACTATACAGCTGATGGCCATCATCAAAAAATCTAGAAACAATAAATGCTGGAGAGGGTGTGGAGAAAAGGGAACACTCTTGCACTGCTGGTGGGAATGTGAATTGGTTCAGCCACTATGGAGAACAGTATGGAGGTTCCTCAACAAACTACAAATAGAACTACCATATGACCCAGCAATCCCACTACTGGGCATATACCCTGAGAAAACCGTAATTCAAAGAGTCATGTACCAAAATGTTCATTGCAGCTCTATTTACAATAGCCAGGAGATGGAAACAACCTAAATGTCCATCATCGGATGAATGGATAAAGAAGATGTGGCACATATATACAATGGAATATTACTCAGCCATAAAAAGAAACGAAATTGAGTTATTTGTAGTGAGGTGGATGGACCCAGAGTCTGTCATACAGAGTGAAGTAAGTCAGGAAGAGAAGGACAAATACAGTATGCTAACACATATATATGGAATCAAAGGAAAAAAAAAATGTCATGAAGAACCTAGGGGTAAGATAGGAATAAAGACACAGACCTACTAGAGAATGGACTTGAGGATATGGGGAGGGGGAAGGGTAAGCTGGGACAAAGCGAGAGAGTGGCATGGACATATATACACTACCAAGTGTAAAATAGATAGCTAGTGGGAAGCAGCCGCATAGCACAGGGAGATCAGCTCGGTGCTTTGTGACCACCCTCTAGGT